TTTGTGTGTTTAGAAATGAAAATACACTAAGCTTTTGATTATTTTTTTTTTTTAAGCTTTTCAGCTGCAGGCAGGTTTCAAGTGATCTGCACTTCTCCCACTACCAGCATGAGCAGGATGACTGGGTGAAGGTGCTTACCTAGAGGCCGAGCAGCTCCTGAGGCTTGCCTGAAATGGATGTTGTGTCTTAGCAGAGACCGCCTTCTCCTGGCTCTTCCTGCCCGGACACCCAGGCTAGTCTGTGATCAGGGTTTGCTGCTGCTCTTAGTCAAGGAATGGATTGAAACTGGAGAACACCGTAACAGTGTATGTGGAAAGCTGTGAAGTGAGAAAAGCTTTGTGTGGGCTCTTCAGGGATGTCTGCAGGCAGCAGTACATAAACAATCGCTGGCTGAGGTTCAAACTGATGTTTTCAGATGAAACACGATTTTTTTAACCTGAATCTGTTAAGGAGCTGTCCCGCTCCTTTCCATAAGGATTGCGTCTGTAGTTGTTAAACCCACTTTCTTGCTGTCCCCTGCGTTGGCGAGGGGGGGTGCAGCCTGTTAGAACAACAGCTCCTGCTCAGCCGCTCCCAGCAGCCGGCCTGGCTGTACGCTGTTGCGTCCTGGTTGTCACGCGCATCAGCTGGTGCCCCACGATCTCCAGACGAGCGGGAGGAGGTAGCGGGAAAGCATCCCCTGTGGTGTGTAACTTCCCAGGGGTTCAGCAGAACATCTGGGCTGTGTTTGAAGGGAAATCCTATGCCATTGCTAAATGCAGAACAGGAGGATGAGATAGCCTTCTGGGTGTTAGTGTGTTGAGAGATAAATCCATGAAACCGTGGAGTATTTTCATAATTTCATTGCTACTGATCTGGAGAAGAGATGGGAGGTGTTTGGGTTGGAGGACTCGAGTCACTTCACCTGGCTTCATTGCGTGGTTTAACAGTTCCCACCTCAAACTTTTAATTTTTCCTTAGCGGTGTCTTTGTAACTTGGAACAAATATGGAGAGACTTGTTCTGTGTGCAGCTTGAGACCTGCAGGAACAGTTTCCTCCTGGAAGGGGACTGCTGCTGTTTGCGGGTGCTCACCCTCACGGGAAGCTGTTTCTCTGAGGTTCACTTCACTCCTGATCCTTTGTGCTTTACCAGGGAGGAAAGGTGGCTCCTGGTTGTGTCTCCTGTTGGTACAGAAATCTCCCTTGCAGTAGAGGAAAACAGAGGAGAAATACTGGCAGGGGAGCTGGGGCTGGCTGTCCTGGTCTTCCTCGCTGTCAGGCAGCTGGTGTCGGACAGACGTGTGCGGTTGTCTGTAGAGCTGCAGGCTGCGCAGGTGTGAGCCTGCGAGACGTAAGCTGGTCTGGTGGAGTGGTACGTGGCGGTGAGGAAACACCCGATACCTGTGACTTGCGATTGTTGGAGAAACGTATTATTGAAGGCAATGGTTTCTTCTGTGAATCTTACCTAGGGGTGAAGGCAACAGAAGTGGCTCTAACTAGTAGTCTGAACAGTTGACCAGACTGCTTCTGACTGACCTCTGAAAATGCTGGTGTTAAAGCAGGTGATGGTGATGACCTTAGCAGAGAGCTGAACCAGGCTCCTCTCTGCCTAAAGCTTTGCCAGTCCTCGCTGAGCGCCGCTGTTGTGCTGCCGCCGTCACCGGAGCGTCCGGGTGCCATGCGTAGCGTGTTGAGTGATGTTATTAACATCTGTCCAGGGCCCATGGCAGCCTGCGCGGCCTGAGGGGCTCAGTATTTCCAATAAAAGCTCATCTCTTCATTGACATAAAGATTTACACCCTGCAAGTATGGGAAGGCCATGTGGGTTCTCATACCAGAAAAGAGCAAACAATTATTTCCTTACTGTCTGAACTGTGAAGGGGCCGCCTGGTGCGCGGCCCGTGCCTGCAGTACCTGTGCGAGCTCTCGCGCTGCCCCGTCGCTGGGGTGTTCCCACGCTCGGAGGCCGATCTGCCAGGCGCGGGTCTGGGAGCTGGAGCGGGAGGCTCCGCCGCTTGCTGTGCGGTGGCTGCTGGGGCTCCG